AGGATTCTCCACCTTACCCAAACCAAAACCCCACTATGAGCTGACAGATCACACCCTTGCTCACAGCACCTGTCTCCCTGAGCTTTGCAGAGAGGAGGAAGATGAAGCAAGTGGAGCAAATGGAGGACGAGGTGGAGGAGCTGAAGGCAAAATTACGGGAGATGCAGCAGCAGCTGGAAGCAGAGAGGGAAGTGGAGAAGCTGCACAGGGAGCAGGTATGGGGCAAGGGCACTGCTGCCTGTTTGGAAAAGATGGATTGGGAGGAGAAGTGATGAAATGCAAGACATTTTTAAGTCACAGGTGAAAAAGCTGCTGCAAAATATTTTATGGTGGGTCTTGTGTTTATTTCTTGGGAAAATGTGCCCCCCCACACACCCCGATTCCCATGGGAAATGTCACATGGAAATAAGGACTCTGTAAGTGTGCTTGCCCAGGAGGCTGTACTGCCTCTAACTTCCCTTTGTGTGCAGGCAGGCTCTGAGCAGCAATGGGAGTAATGAGAGCATTGGTGCTCATCCCACTGGCACCAGGGCAGAAGCTTCGGCCCTTGGTACTTCTGCTCTGCAGCCAAGATGTGTCCTGTCCTGATTTTTCCACTCCCTTTAGGAAACAGAGAAAGTTCACCAGCGAGAAGAGGAAGGCAGGAGAGATTTCGAAAGGTGGAAAGAGGAGGAGAGGATGAAGTTGCATGAAGAGATTGATGGCCTGAAGCAGCTCTTCCTCACAGCGTTCAAGGACATGGCCAGCAGGAGCTGTGCCATGGAGGGGGTAAGCAAACACAATCAGGCGAGGGGATGTCCAAGCCTTCTGCTTCATCTGGTCTAGGTGACATCACAGGTTCACGACCCAAAGAGGCCTCATTTTTTATTTCCTGGGGTACACAAACATTTTGGGGTTGGAAGCAGTGGCTGACCAAGTTTGGGCTCCCCAACACACAGCTCCTTCCTCTTCCTGCTCCAGAAACTGCAGCAGCTTCATGCCAGGGAGGTGTTGGAGTCCAACCTGGGGACCCTGCGGGATGATGACACAGAGGAGGCATGGTGGCAGCCATCAGGCTGGGCAGAGCAGGAGAAGACGGCAGTGCAGGTGAGCACTGCTGTACCTGTGTCCTTACCCCTACTGCGCACCCCAGGAGGTGCATTTGGATGGAGACGGACCCACATCCATGCACTTCTGTGTGCATCTGCTTTGTGCACATCTGGTCTCAGCTCAGGTTCAGGTAAATGGGCTTCTACAAGTGTAGAGCATGGACAGTCTGAGTCCAAAAATGGGTCCTGGAGGGTGCAGAGGGCATGTCACAGTCCCAGGTCAGCCCTGCTTACTGCGGGGAAACCCATCTTCACCAGAGAGCTGCAGAAGTTCACCATATGGAAAAGCACTTAAATAAACAAAATACATTTATTTACATAAATAGGAGGAACCAGCCTCCTTCTCAATGTCCAAAAAGATCTGAAGAAGCCTTTACTGTGCATAGTACCTCTGAGCATGGATTAAGTTAGGAACGGCACTGCTGTTATGGTGCCAACCTTCTTTCAGTACCCAAAGGGAAGCTGAATTTCTCTGAGTATGGATGCCCCCAAACTACAAGCCAAGGAGGGAAAAGCCCATGTGTTTAATTTGGCAAAGGGCAGAGCAGAGGCAAGCGCTGAAGGACTTGCACAGGAAGAACCAGACATGGGAGGTCCAGATAGGTGCCAGATGTCCTTGGCAGCTCCCAAGCACATCACTCAGAAAAGGCCTCATTTCCCTTATGGTTCAAATCCAGAGATGTTAGGTCTTTTCAGAAGAATCGGAGATGCTCTCTCTGCAGATCTACCCCAGCAAGTGGTAGGTAGAAAGAGAAGGGCTACACACTTTAAATGAGCCTTGGCTGGACTTCAAAGCCCAGGGTGTCAGAGTATAGTTATTATGTTATGAAGGGGAAAGAATAAAAGAAATGCAGTGACCAAAGCCATGTCCTATCACGACTGATGACAAGACACGAGCTTGCCAACCAGCAGACTTTGAAGGTGGCCATACATCTTCTGCAAAGCCAGATCTGCCCTTTGGAAGGTATCTCAAAAATGAATAAAAATCCAGAGAGCTGCCCTTGCTGGTGAAGGGAGGAGATGGCTCCAAATCTGTTTTTACCATGTTCAAGTTTTCTTGTTCTTCTTTTGTCCCTTTTAATTAAAGAAAGAGAACAAGACACTCCATGGCGCCCCATCCCAGGACCAGTGGGCAGTTATGGACCATGTCCATCAGCAAGTGGATACCTTCAGCACCCATCTCAGGGAGCAGCCCAAGCTCACCAAGTCCCAGGAGAAGAAGGCAAGTGAAATTAAAAAACCCCAAAGCCTCGGTTCATCAGGAAGGTTTAAGCAGATGTTTAACTCTGAGCAACCTTAAAACATTTGCTGAATCAAGACTAAGCATAATTTCAACCTTGTTCTGTAATGCTTTGCTACATTTGGCTATTTTTGCACTGATTAAACATGAAACATGATGTGAGTATCATTGGCACGAATCATGCCCGCTGTGGCGTAGATCACCAGAGCAACACTTTGCATTGCAATTGCATCAGATCTGCGAATAGCACATGGGGTGTAACAGAATGGCACCTGATGTGCTAGTGATCGTGTTATGGAAGGGAAAGTCCCTAAGCCAACCCCTTACAGGTACGGTCTGCTTAAGGGGAATAGTTCTTGGGGAGCGTATGTGCCCAATTTAAACTCTTGCTGTTTTCTGCTGCTTTTTTGAATGTATTTGATTATAATACTTTGCAGAGAGAGGAAAAATTACACAAAATTATAGACAAATAATCTTTGAATGATTCCCGGTCTATTTCTTTACAGATCAAGCTGCTATCTACAGGGAAAACTGAAGGTAATGATTGCATTTTTAAAGTGAATCATTTTTGGCTGAATTTTTCATAGCTAACAGCCCTTCAGACCACAATGTCTTCCTTGTCTCCCTCTACAAAAGAATGCCACGAAGTCTTCTCCAGGAAGCTAGCTGTATGTTCTCTCACATGAAACCATGGAGTGGACGCATTACAGTTCCTTGACTATCTGCTGCAACAGCACAGACAGCAGCTCTGGTCACTGACACAAAACTAACTTGTCTCTTGGGTGGGTTTTGTATTATAGCTATACCCCTAAGGACTGAGATTTCAATCAAGTACTCACAGCAGATGACCTTGCCTCCTCCAATGTTATGCCAGCAGCTATCTGCATAAAAACAAGGAGCTGAGGCATGTTGTGGTTTCTTCTTTACAGTCTGGGTTTTCTATAATCAAGTGCCAGGGAAAGCGGGCACTTGAAAAGTGGGGACTTAGCTTCCTCATGCAGACCTGACCAGGTGCTGCTGCTCAGAAAACAAAAACCAGGGATAGCTGTTAGCAAATACCCAAGGGGTACATGACTGACCCCAGCCCTGAAGGTTAGCAGATGGCTGCTTGCCCACTGACATCCTCCAGCCAGCAGCCTTGGTGGGAGAGTGCCCTGGGGCTTCCTTTGGAGATGTTATCCAAGGGCTGATGCCAGACCTGAGCCAAAGAAACACCTGTGTCCATACTTCCTGTATAGGAAAGCAGGTGGTGATCAGCACTTGCTTCTGTGCTGGGGCCTCGGCTCCTCTTTGACTGTCACAGTCTCCTTTCTTCCCTGCAGTGACCCAGGATGTGACCAAAGTGGGAGCTGATGAAGAGTCAGCAGGTGGGTACGAGTTGGGACTATCCCTATCTCAAAAGCACCAGGATGAAGCTGGCGTTTGGCTTCAACTTTTGTCCTCAAGGGGGGACAAGGGGTGCTGTGCAAAGCTGGCTGTGATGAGGTGGTGGGCTGGGGGCAGAGGGGGTGAGCTTACTGGTCCCCTCTCAGTTGAACAGACTATGACAGCACTGTGACCAGCCCTGCTGCCAATGCTTCACTTGGGAAAGCTGTCTCAGGCAGTTACTTGGCTATAGGTGGGATTTTGGGAAAGTTGTGGGCAGGGATTAATCAAATTAGAGGAGAAAGCTGCCCCTTTGCAGAGGGATGTAGTTTGCTGAGAGCAATCACTTGCTTGCTCTGGGACTGGTGGGACCTATGTTCGCAAAGAGAAGAAAGATCCCACCAGTCCCATTCCCAAGGCACAGCCTGCGCATTGCTGCACTGGTAGCCGCACTCCCCACCTTTACTCCAGGCAGGGAGGAGGCCACCCGGGGTGGGAAGCAGAGGCTGCTGGAAGCCCTGCAGAGAAACCCAAATCTCCTGAAGCGGTTTCGCCACATCCTGGAAGAAGTGCTGGAGGAAAAGCTGGAGAGCATGGGTATCAAGAGGGTAAGTCTGTCCTTTCAGCCCAGCACAGGAACACAAAGACTGCTCTGAACTGATTAATTTTTTTGGGGGGAAGAGCAACTGAAACATTAACAGGCAGTTAAAAAAATCCCATAAGTAACCCCCATCTGGAGCAATACACTCTGAAAGGCAAATGGGAAGGTGGAGGCAGAATCACACAGTAGCACTGGGAATAAACCACTGTGCTCCCATCTCTGAAGCTGGTTATTAGTATCTCTCCAGCAAATCTTTCTCACAAGCAGCTTTTCATATGCTAAATCATTCAGGGCTCCCTCTCTTCTATTGAAGGAGGGTGTTTGAGGGCACAGCAGCCCCTGTCGTGGGGATTTCAAGGGGACTTTCACTGTCCAAGTCTTTTTCATGCCAAACATATTAAATAGTACCTCCTTCCCGAGCTCAATGCAACACCACCACCTAGCACCTTGCAGAGCCAATGCAAGGGCAGGGAGCAGGCAGGCAGCAGGGACCCGCATTGCTCTATCTAACAGTGTTTCTGAGCAAGGCTGCATTTCTGGGTTTAGGTCCTGAAGGCACAAAGACAAAGCAGTGTCTGAATCACTTCCCGTGTGATTGTTTTCTGGAGGTGTTTTTAAGGAGCACTCCTGGGTTCATGTCACATAGGCTGGAGCCCTGGCATGTCCCCCATTTCCCCAGCAGGTTATCTGGGAGAACTGATGCACTGGTGTCAAAAGCAGCAGAGGTGCCCAAAGCCAAACTCACAAGCTAACACCTGCCCTTCACCCTTTACTTCTCATCATTTTACATATCTACAAGCCCAGGACACTCATGGTCACAAAACTTCCTTGAGCTGTAAATACATGCCAAGAGAAAATGCTGCACTTACTTACCCTGTACCTAGAAATTGGCCAAAATAATTGAGATGTCATCTTCAGCAGTCATTTACCAAAGCAGATGAGTCCATGCAAATGTGGCTGTTTGCATGGGATACATTGTGCCAGGGAAATGATGAGTGTCAGGGCTGGTGAGAGCTTCCTTGGGTTTTCACAGGGCTTGGAGCTTGCAGGGTGCTCTTGAGATATGAGTAATGCTGCCGAGGGTTTGTTTCACCACCCAGTGCTGTGGGAGGACAATGCCAAGCTCCTCAGCTGCCCTCTGCTTTAGGTTGCAAAGGGAATCTCCACTCGGACCTACCAAAGACTCCAGGCCGTGGTCAGGCTTCAGCAGCAACAGAAGGCTGTGAAATTTCCTGGTCTCCTCCACCTGAGGGATGAGTTGGTCCGAGCAGTGATGCGGAAAGTCAGGCGACACAAGAAACGCAGCAGTGCTTTGCCTCAGCAGCTCTCTGTCATCCCAGGTAGAGTGACCTCCTGTTCTCTTCAGTTATCCACTGCAGGGATCTGTGGCCACCCACTGATGGCCATGGGATGCTGTCGTCTTACCCAGTGGGGCAACAAGACAGAGAAGAGCAGGAAAGGGCCTTTAGGGTGATGCAAGTCTCTGCAGTTGTTCTCTGAATATTGACCTATGCGAGTCACCCTGACATATTCAGGAAAAAACATCAGCTGTCCCCAAAAGCCCCAGCAGAGTGTAATGTAGGTAGAGCTTGAAAATCCCTTTTCCCCTTTTTTTCTACACAACCCCATGTTGGGTTGGCTTCATGGTTCCCCCAAGGGCAGCCTATAGGACTACCAGGAGATGGGTGCTGATTCTCTGTGCCCTCAATATTGCTTTCCAGCTCAAAGCCCGAAGACCCCCAGGTCCCTTCGTGGGTCAAAGCCCATGGCTATACCAGCTACAGTAGTGCCTGAAGCCACAGTGATCCCCTCGCCCATGCCTCGGAGCAGAGCCCACTCCACATGCAGCCCCTCAAGGACTCCTTCAAGCACTCTGGGGACCACCAAAACCAGCAGACCCCACCGAGCTGTCCCATGGGGGAGGTGAGTCCCACCGTCTCCTTTCAGTGCCCAGGCAGGCAGTGCCCAAGGACCCTAAATCTGGCCCTACCTATGCTGTGTGCTACCCAAACAGCAGCACCTTTAGTGGCACCCCAGAGCGTTTTGTTTGGAAAAAAACTGGAGTCTCCCATATGGGCTGACTCAAGCAAGTCAGACCTGAAGGCGTGTACCCACCATGTGGTGGTGGAGATAATCACAGGGCCATTTCCCTCCTGTATTTGGCTCCTTCTTCCCTTCCCAAAACCTGTGCAAGTGGGTGAACGAATTCTCTTGGTGTTTTGGAGCAAAACCAGTAAAGATGTAAACTAAAAGTTTGCAGACCATGCAGAGAAGAAACACTGTAAGAGGGTGTGAGATGGCAGCAGAGAGGAAGAGGAGATCATCTGTGACCAAGAGCAGGTGAGGAAAAGGAGTTACTTGTTTGCTCCAAGAGCAAGAGAAAACCAGACTGAGGATTTAAACTCAAGCAAAGCAATAGCAAACAGAGGCAAAGTATGGGTGTGAGTATTTGCTGGAGATGCTAGCAGCAATGTGTTTGCAGTCAGTGGGTGTGATGGACCTGTCCAAGTCCATGGGGACCATGAGGCTTCTCCGTGGGCTGCCCTGCTCAGGGCGTGATCACAGTCCAGAGCATCACAGGGCTTCCTTGCCTCTGCCTCAGGAGTGGGTGAGAGGGACACCAAAGCAACTCCACATCTGACCTCTCTGCGTTCCAGCTCAGAAGTGATGCTGAGAGGGAAGAAGCCCACCCTGTCCCCTGTGAGGCTCAGGCCTAAGCAAAAGCCAGTGCTCTCTGCAGTGGTGCTGGGTGATGAGACTGACTCCGATGGGTCAGACCTGGACTCCCAGGAGGAAACAGCTAGTTCAGGTACTGCTTGCTTCCTGTAGCAACCACTGTGTGTCAGTGAAGGGGTGGGAACAGCCCAGGTTAGTATCATCAGTGCCGCCATGTCACCTTCTTCCTGGGGCTGAAGTGGAGCAAGTTGTACCCCACTGTCCCCCATACCCAGCCAGGCAACAGGGCACCGGTGGCTTTATCTATCAGCAACTTTTGTGCCCAACCCTACCACAGTATTTTATAGGATCCTAGAATGGTTTGAGTTGGAAGGGATCTTAAAGCTCATCCGGTTCCAACGCCCTGCCACAGGCAGGGACATCTTCTACTAGAGCAGGTTGCTCCAAGCCCCTGTGTCCAACCTAGCCTTGAACACTGCCAGGGATGGGGCAGCCACAGCTTCTCTGGGCACCCTGTGCCAGCGCCTCAGCACCCTCACAGGGAAGAATTTCTTCCTAAAATCTAATCTAAATCTCCCCTCTTTCAGCTTAAAGCCATTCCCCCTTTTCCTGTCACTACATACCCTTGTAGTGACAAAAGCCCCATTGAGGCATTGGTATTAGCCCTATTTTCCTAGGGTGCAATAAATTCTGCAGCTCTTCCTTCGCACAGGTGGAAACCAAACTGTCTAGAGGGTGCAGGGAACCCCACAAGACCTGAAGGGCTGATAAACATAAGAAGGAAAACTTGTTTTCACTGTTAGCTGTATGCTGTACAACAGTCTGTAAAACCTGTTGTGAACCATGCATCAGGAGATGATGTGGGGACTGTCCTGTGGCCCCTCAGGTGGCTGTGGTGTGTCCTAAGCCAAAAAAGAGATGTTGGTGCTGTGTTACAGAACACTAACCTGGGCTACACGTGCAGAGGTTTCCTCCATCATCCTTGCACACACTGGAGTGTTACCCATTGCTTGCTCAGGGAGGGAAACCCCCATGGTTTCTCCTATGCACAAAACATTTGCTTCCTGAAACAGCTCCACTGGGATGGGTCCAGGCAGTGCTAGGGAGTTTAAACTATTTAGAAATCAGCTCACTCTGGGATGCCTGATGGCTCCCTCCCTTCTCACCCAGCTGTGCCATTACCTTGCCTTGGGGCTCCCTGTTTAACCAGCTCTGCCCTGCACAGGGACAGCCACGTCTAGGATGGTGAGGCTTTTGGAGAGACGCCTGGATGCAATGGCACAGGGACCACCCAGCGGGGTGAAACTCTTCCCAGCTGGGAGCTTGGCATCCCCCAGCACTGGCCAACCCACCAAGAAACTCCAGGTATCTTGTGCAAATGGCCACAGGGACAATTTCTGACATAATTTCAAATAAAAAATAAAAAAAATAAGAAGGCATGTCAGACCCTCTTCTCAGCTCCGAACCATCAGCAGTGCCACAGGGTATAGTCTGTGCAGAGGGAGTTCAGACTTAGAGCAGCAGAGATTTGGCTGTTAACCCCTTCGTCCCTTTACAAATATCTGTCCTTCTCCTGGTAGAATCATAGAATAGTCAGGGTTAGAAAGGACCTTAAGATAATCTAGTTCCAACCCCCTGTCATGGGCAGGGACACCACACACTAAACCACGTCACCCAAGATTATGTCCAACTTGCCCTTGAACACTGCCAGGGATGGAGCATTTACTACTTCTTTGGGCAGCACTTCTTTACTTACCCTCACAGTAAAGAACTTCTTCCTTATATCTAACCTGAGCTTCGCCTATTTAAGTTTGAACCCATTCCCCCTTGTCCTATCACTACAGTCCCTAACGAAAAGTCCCTCTCCAACATCCTTGTAGGCCCCCTTCAGATACTAGAAGGCTGCTATGAGGTCTCCACGCAGCTTCTCTTCTCCAGTCTGAACAACCCAAATTTTCTCAGCCCATCTTCGTACGGGAGGTGCTCCAGCCCCCTTATCATCCTCATAGCCTCCTCTAGACCTGCTCCAATAGCTCCATGTCCTTTTTATGTTGAGGACACCAGAACTGTACACAATACTCCAAATGAGGTCTAACAAGACCAGAGCAGAGGGGCAGGATCATCTCCTTTGACCTGCTGGTCATGCTCCTTTTGATACAGCCCAGGATACAGTTGGCTTTCTGG